TCTGCATTTTTGTCTCAATGTACTTATCTACTCTGGATGTTTTATATGAATGAATCATACAGTATGTGGCCTTTTGTATCTGGCTTCTTTCACTTAGCATGTTTTCAAGGTTTCTCTGGGTTGTAGCATATGTCAGTACTTCATTCATTTTTATGGACAAATAATATTCCATTGTATGGATATACTACATTTTGTTTGTTCATTGGTTGGTAATTTGGGCTGTTTACATCTTTTGGGTATTATGAATAGTGCTTATGCACATAATGCCTGTACATGTACCTGAGTACCTGTTTTCAGTTTTTTGGGGTATATAACTAGGAGTGGAATTATGGGGTCGTACGTTAACTCTATTTTTAAACTTTTTAGGAACTGCCAAACTGTATTCCAAAGTGGCCATACATGGGCCGGCCCGTGGCTCACTCGGGAGAGTGCGGTGCTGATAACACCAAGGCCACGGGTTCGGATCCCATATAGCGATGGCCGGTTAGCTCACTGGGTGAGCATGGTGCTGACAACACCAAGTCAAGGGTTAAGATCCCCTTACCGGTCATCTGAAAACAAAACAAACAAAAAAACAAAGTGGCCATACATTCCCCCCAGCAATATGTGAGGGTTCCAATTTCTCTGCATCCTTGTCAACACTTATTTCCTTTTTTTTTTTTTTTTTTTTAAATTATCCTCATTCTACATGTTGTGAAGTGATAGCTCCTTGTGGTTTTGATATGCAGTTCCCTAGTGACTAATGATGTTGAATATCTTTTCAATGCTTATTGGCCATTTATATCTCTCCTTTTTTGCATTCCTTTGGATTATCCCATTTTTTCTTCTATATCAGTTTGGAAGTTAAATCTCTTTTTCTATCACTGTTATTTCAGTGATCTCCCTAGAAATTGCCACATACATTTGTAACTTACCAAAGTGTCATGCCAATCAATATGTTGATAGGAATTGTGGAGTTTCCTGAGATGGAGGGGGAAACTGAGAACATTCCAGGCCAAATGAACAGGAGAAACAAAAGTGTCAGGTCAGGAAAGAGCTCAGTGTATCCAGGAGTGCAAACTGGGACTTCCTCCTAGAAGTGAAAGAGGAGCCAAAGAAAGTTCTACAGAACAATGAAGATTTAATTACTGTTTGAGTCAGAGTGGGGCTAGAGCAAGATGAGCCTGGGGTGGGTAGCTTAAAGCCATTTAAAAAGAATATCTTGGTTATGAATAAGATCTCTGAGCATAGAACAAAGAATAACTCCTTCTCAACCTAGAAAGAGCACTGATTTTCCTGATGCCTTTTGGAAGGCAGGGGCAGAGTTTGGCCTGAAGCTGGATGCCTTCAGCACTGTGTGCTTCCCTGTCTGTTTACCTACCCCAGCCATGCTCACTCCATCCCCTACCCCTAGCAGTTGTTCTTCAAAGGCCTTTCTTGCAGTTCCTACATCTCTGCTTTACCTATCTAAATACTGCTCATCTTTCAAAACCCAGTTCAATTAAATCAATCCAACAAATATTTTCTGAGTCCATACTGTTTTCCTGTCCCTGGGCTAAGATGAAAGATTAAGTGAATGAAACAGGTGAGGGTTCCATCCTTAAATGAGCACCCAGAAAGTTGGGGAGACGGACATGCAACAAATGATTTTGCATCCTTGTAATCAGACCCCCAATAAAGGTATGAGAGAAAGCCATCTAATACTGGCTATGGAGTGATGGGGGGGCAGTGGGCAGATCATGAGGTCTGGGGGGAGATGAGGAAGTTGAACAAAGCTTCATGGAAGAGAGGAGTGTAGCAAGAGTGTAAAATTTGTGATTGCTGGAGTAGAGGATGGCCAGATTATGAGGGATGTTGAATAATCACACTAAGGAATTTGCTTTTGATCCTAAGAGCTATGGGGAGTTGCTAAATAATTTATTTGCAGCAAAGGAGGGACATGATCAAGAGTTTAAGAAAAGCCAATGTGTTTTAGAAGAGCCAGGGTGGTTGTAATGGGGAGGATGATGGAGAGACAGGAGGGCAAGGAGACCAGTGAAGGAGATCTCCTATAGGAAGCTTTCCTTGACAACTACATCTCACATTCTCTTCTTCTCTTCTGACCCCCACTTCTATACTGCCCCTATGCTTCTGGGAGCTGGAACATCCCTGTGAACAAACGCTCAGTCTGCTTGGGGGTGTCCGGTATGTATGTGTGGACAGGGAGGATGGAGCAGTGATTGTGGCCAAAGCTGGAAAACGGTGGTGCTGTTTCAGGCAAAGGCCTCTCTGGGGTATGTCTAGACACCAGGCAAACCCACCAGAAGGGCTGAAGACACCAGAAATCCTCAACATCATCAGCAGCTACTTGGACAATGGACAATACCAATTCAGCAAACACTGAGTGCCTACTCAATGAGGGCAAACCTAGGTGCTTAGATGCTTGTTTAACTTCTTTATCTGAACACTGGATTTCATCAAATTTACCTCACCAGATTATTAAGAGAATCAAATAAGAGAGCGTACATAAAGTTCCTGGCACATAGTGAGAGCCCGTTCTTTTCTTCTATTTTTCCTCATATAAATCAAGGTAGGTGAGACTCTTTCAAATTGACAGTGGAATAAACAGTTATGGGGAGGGTAAGTGACAGCCAAGGTCAGACGGTTCAGAAAAGACTAAGACAGGACAAGTTCAGACTGTAGCTTACACGTCTGACTGTAATGACCATCATATATTGAGTACTTTCCATGTGCCTAGCGTGCTGCTATGTTACCTCTAAATCTCACAACAACCCTATAATGTGGGTATTGCTAAAACTGCTTTACAGATGAGGAAACAGGTTCAGGGCTGTATGGTCAATTGCCCACATTGCCCAAATCACCAGAGGAATAAAGGCAAGATTAGAGCACCTCAAAATACAGGCATTGGGGGTGGTCTAGAGGCATGGAGAAGGTACCCAGCCTTGGGGAATGGTACTTAGGGCTAAGGGAACAGACAAGAAGTCAAGATAGAGAACAAGGGCCAGGAGCAGTCACACCTGCCTGAGTTGGAACTAAACAGAGAGGATGATGGGAAGCCCTAAAGCAGAAAACCTGAGTCTAGGGCCAGCCCGTGGCTCACTCGGGAGAGTGCAGTGCTGATAACACCAAGGCCCCGGGTTCGGATCCCATATACAGATGGCCGGTTCGCTCACTGGCTGAGCGTGGTGCTGACAACACCAAGTCAAGGGTTAAGATCCCCTTACCGGTCATCTTTTTTAAAAAAAAAAAACAAGAAAGAAAACCTGAGTCTAGGGCCAGCCCGTGGCTCACTCGGGAGAGTGCAGTGCTGATAACACCAAGGCCCCGGGTTCGGATCCCATATACAGATGGCCGGTTCGCTCACTGGCTGAGCGTGGTGCTGACAACACCAAGTCAAGGGTTAAGATCCCCTTACCGGTCATCTTTTTTAAAAAAAAAAAAAAAGAAAGAAAACCTGAGTCTAGTTGGCAAAATTGGAAGGAGGTGGTTCTTTGAGTAAAGTTTTACTAATCCATTTGCTCTGAGACTTTAAAGAATAGGATGGGGGAGAATTCAAAGACTAGAAAAGTAGTTTTTAGAATAAGACGTTTTTTCCAGACTTGGAACTTCCCCCATTCCCAGTGTATCCAAGATATCTCTGGGTACCCCACCCCATTGCTCAGCCTAGGGCCTGTCACAGAGAGAGCCTTGGTTAAGTGAGTGAACAAGAGTGAGTGCATGAAAAATGACTCTGGCAAATTATTCAAGAAATTTAAGCCTCTGTTTCCCATTCTGAGAAATGCAGTTATAGCTACCTCGTGGGATTAACAGTATTTGTGATTAAGGGAATGACCTCAGGTGCCAGACTCAAATCTTGGTTCTGAAATTTACTAGCTGTATGAGTAGGTAACTTACCTTCTCTGTTTTCCATTGGTAAAATGAAGATATTAGTAGTATTTACCTCATAGGGTTTTTTGAGGATTAAATGAGATAACTCATAAAAAGAAAAGACATAGTGGGTGCTCAGAATGTGTTAATTATTACTATGAGGATTTATATGGGAGGATATTTTTATTTATTTATTTATTTACTTATTTATTTATGATGGCTGGCCAAATAAATGGGAGGATTTAGATGTGAAGATAACCACATCTATCTCAGAGGTCTTCCGCCCCCTGCAGATGCTCTGATAACCCCTCAGTGTACCTGCAGGAGAGATTATTGGTCTCTTCACCCTTCTCTATTGTTGGGGTAGGATGTTATTTGCAAAGGGAGCTAGGGGTCCGCCCTCAAGTTCCCTTATGGGTTAGTAAGGGTCAGAGTGGGGAAGGGAACCCTGAGAGCTGATTTGTGGGGATCAACCCTGTGGGGAGAGACCCAAGGCTGGGGCCAAGATCCTTTCCCTGCTATGTCATACAGAACAGGGTGCCCTCTCCTGATCAAAGGTGGGAACAGCACTGGCCCAGAGTTTTTGGGGTGCGCCTTACCTGATTTCACTACCTGCAATCTGCCTTTCCCTTTGTTGAAATGTGCCTAACCGGCTCTGGGGAGCAAAGTTTGGGGGAGGGGTGCCGAGGCTGGGACAAAACTGGCTTAATGTTTCAGAAGGCCGAGGCTGGATAATTCGGTTACAGTGAGGGTGGAGGGCAGGAGAGACTGGGGTCAGGGAATAGAGAAATCGGAGCCTTATTAAATTAATTCTATGTTCTTTCAACAGGTGATGGAACGCAGCCGAGAGTAAGGTGACAAGGTGGCTTGTCCAACATGTTGAAGCCAGGTGTCCAGGGCTCTTTCGGCTGCCCTCACGCAGCCGGAATTAGTGGGACAGAGCGGGGCTGGACATGCATGGCTTGAGGAAACGCCAGAGTTAGGGGGAGAGCGGGGGCTTCCGGACCCCGAAGCGGCGAGGAGCCAGCAGAGGGCTGTGTGCCTTTTTCTCCCTAAGTTCCGCCCCAAGCCCGCCGGTCCCGCCCCCATCGTTCCCGCTCAGGCCCGCCCCCCTGCCGCTAACCCCCGGCCCGGCCGGGGCTCCCCCCGACCGTGTGCCCCTGGCTGCTGGCCTGCGCTGGCGCGGCCTCCTTGGTACTACCGCCTGGGTGAGTACGGTGATGGGTGTGTTTGGCCGCCGGGTAGCGTCACTGGGAGGAGCACGGCCATGAGGTGCGGCTTCCGCAGGGCCGGGCCCTAAGCTCCGGGGGTCCAGGGGCTTGGCCTCCTGCTTCACACGCTCAGTATCCGAGGAACTGCTGCTGTCTGGACTTACTGAGCTTACCCCCGCCTCGTGTTGTCCCCTCCCCAACATGAGGCTGGGCATGCAGGGCTGATCTCTCCCTTCTTCACTCCTCAGGGCCTCCTGCTCAGCATCCCTCCTATGTGTGGCAGATGGAGGCGTGGAGGGCGGGGCTTGGAACCTGATAGACTAGTTTCGAATCCCAGCTCTGCCAGTTGTTAGCCTGTGACCTTGAGTAAGTGTTTTTTTTTTTTTTTTAAAGATGACCGGTAAGGGGATCTTAACCCTTGACTTGGTGTTGTCAGCACCATGCTCAGCCAGTGAGCGAACCAGCCATCCCTATATGGGATCCGAACCCGGAGCCTTGGTGTTATCAGCACCACACTCTCCCGAGTGAGCCACGGGCAGGCCCTTGAGTGTTTTTAACCTCTCTGAACCTCCGTTACCTCTTATGCAAAATAGAAACATACAGGCTATAGTGCCTACCTCATAGAATTAATAGCGAGGACTAAAAGAGACAATGTATATCAAGTGTTGAGCCTCATACTCAGCAGGCACCCAGTAAATGTGGATTTGGAGTGGAAGCTGAGAAGATCTCTAGGGACTTTGGAGATGAGGTAGGGATACTCCTAAGAAAGCAGTTTTCTACTAAGTAGTACCTGTGAGGAAGCTAGAGCAGTCTGGGGGCTGAACAGCAGCCCTTCAGGTAATAAGCTGCCTGACTTGAGATTTGGAGGAGTAGAATGACCAAGTTGGAGAGGCATTAGAAGTAACCTAAACCACGTGATCCCTTGGTGGGTTAGCTCAGTTGGTTATGGTGTGGTGTTACAACACCAAGGTCAGGGGCTCGTGTATGGGTACCAGTAGGCCACCCAAAAAAACAAAAAGAATGCATTTATGACATCATTTAGGCTCAGTTGATTAGAGCACAGCCTTATAACACCAAAGGTCACAGGTTTGGATCCCCCACACTGGCCAGCCATCAAAAAAAAATAAAAATAAAAAAGAAACCACATGATCCCTATGTTGTACAACTGTGGAAACAGGCACAGAGTGGATAGGTGGCTTTCCCAAGGTCACACATCTAAAAGGGAGGGCAGGCATATCTCCAAGAAGTGGGACAGAACTGTCCCTTGAATCTCTTTATCTCCCTCCCTGCTTTGGGCAGTGCCTATTCATTTCCCAAAGATCTGATCTTCAATTTGGAGATTTCAGTGGTTCCTTCAAGGAGGGAAATTGGGAGGGGGAACTAGTGCTACTGCAGCTGCAGTCTGGGTTTGTGCTGGGTGGTGAAGGTACTCCCCATTTAAGGCCCTGAGGAACTTACAGTCCACTTAGGGATGATCCAGGGAATGTGTTTGATCTGGGAGCATCACCAGAGCCACTTCCAATCCCCAGGAGATCCCTGACCCCATAAAAGGGAGAGAAGAACTTGAGCAATTGCAGCAGGCTGCCTGACAGGGCCTGGCAGAGCGGTAGGTGGGGGAACATGGATGAGAATGAAGAGGTGTATTCACCTGGCTTGTTCTGGAATGCCAGGAGGCCAGGGTTCTTCCTGAGGGTGGGATTAGAGGGGAGACTCCTGAGGGTAGAGCCAGGAAGAGTTGGGACTTGATTTGGCAAGACCTTTGAGCCCAGAGGGGCGGGTTCTTTATGTATCTGGAGCCATCCCTAACTTGGCAACAAGAAGCCTAAATTCCAGGGATGGCTTTCTCTTAGGTTCAGCATATGGCTTTGAGGAAAGGCCTTTCTTTCTGCATCTCGGTTTCTTATTTTTACAATGGGAACAGGGCTGACTGGCTTATCTATGTAGGGTTTGGTTTTTCCTTTTCTTCCTCCTATGGACAGGTACCCCTCCCTCTCTCATTCCAGTTCTAACCTGAGTTTCCTGCCCAGAGCTCTGACCCAAAGAGGAAGGAGTCCAGGAAGGCCAGAGTTGAAGTGTGTAACTCTGTGGGTCACACATCTCCCTATTGCTGGCCCTTCCACCTATTTGCTATGTGACCCTGAGCAGATTCCTGTCTCAACTTCCCCCTCTGTACACTGAGAGGGCTGGGCTGGGATTGTTGGTGTATACTTAGCTATTATAGTTCCTGACTTTACATACCCTTGTCTGAGGGGGAAATCACAGTCTTCAGGAGGCTTCACATAATCTCAGGAGGGAGGCAGACAGGCCCCTGAGCACTGGGAAGCTTCCAGAAGCTGACCAAGCAGCTCTCTCCAGCAAACAGCAAGCCCAGGCTAGTGCCAGGCCTGATTCTGCAAAGCCTTTCACCCTCAGAGCACGTGAGACAGCAGGCAGGGACAAGCAGGGGATCAAGGTTCTGTCGGTTTCTATGGAGTCCCTGCTGCTGTGGACTGCAGTGCAGACACACAGAACACACAGAGCCTGGGAAGGGACTGAAGGTGCACAAGGGCCCTGGGCTGGTGGGTGAAGCAATGAGAGAGGCCCTGAAGCCTGGAAGATGGGCCTGAGGGTTAAAGTCCCAGGGGAGGAGATGGGCCATTCTGTCTACTGGTAGGTTTTAGGGTTGATTATGGAAACAAAGAGAGTCTAGTTAAATTAGCTCCTTAGTCCTACAGCCAGTCAGTCCAGGAAGAGAGGTGAGAAGTTCTCCCAATATATTTAAGCTTCATCCCAGCACAGATTTGGTTAATTGTCTTTCCTCTGAAATTGAGTTTGAATGTTGTGTTGGGATTTTGAGTCAGTCTTCCTCATCCAGGGCAGGAGCTGTCCAAGTTTAGGTGACTTCCTTCTCAGACTCCCCACCCCATAGCACAGCAAAAAGACTGAGCACAAGGGCTGACTTCACCATTGAGTCCCAGCCCTGCTGCCTGAGGCCCTGACAGCATGCCACTCCATCCCCAGGTCTGACGAGATGTACCAGGTTCCACTGCCACTGGACAGGGATGGGACCCTGGTCCGGCTCCGCTTCACCCTGGTGGCCCTGGTCACAGTCTGCTGTCCACTTGTCGCCTTCCTGTTCTGCATCCTCTGGTCCCTGCTCTTCCACTTCAAGGAGACAACGGCCACACACTGTGGGGTAGGGCTTGGGGGGACACTGATGCCTCATCTTCAGGCCCATCTGGATCTTTTTTGGATTTTGATTCTGTTTTAATAGGATTAGCTAGCTCTCCAGTGGGATTCATCAAAAAAGTTGGTCTACTGGGGGATGCCTGCAAATTGAAGTCTCAAGGATTATTCTCCCTCCATCTTTCATGAAGATTCTAGGGGCTGGAGTCATTGAAGTTGGGCAGTCCCAGAACCCAGAACCCAGAACCCAATCCTTACTTCATAGAGGGGCAAATTCAGGAGCCCCAGGGTTTTCTGGGGGGTGGAGAGAGAACAGGACTGGAGTCGAGGGCATTTTGGGCCTCTTAGTATGACACTGTAGCCTGTGCCTGTCCCTGGGAATGTGATTGTATGTGTGTGTGTGTGTGTATGTGTGTGTGTATGATTGGGAGGGACACGACTATATAATGGCTTTGAGTGGGGTATGTGTGTAAGAGTACTATATCTGTGCCTATGTGTATGGGGACCTGACTATGTGTATGTATACGTGTTCTGAGGTGGGCCCCATAGATGGCCATGCACCGTGTAGACAGGGATTTGGGGTGCTAGGCCAGGAAGAAAGATGTGAGAGTTCTTTCTTTGTAGGATATTGGACTGAATGGGGTGAGAACTGTGTTGGCTTCTGTTATATTCCCAGTTTACCCACTGACTGTGTATTACCTGAGTCAACAAAGACTGAGCCTCAGTTTTCCTGTGTCTAAAATGAGGTTGATAATTCCTGTTCTGTTCCTTCCTGGGGCTAGTGTGGACCTCTTTGTAAAAGAAGGATGGGAAGGTGGTTTGAGGAGGGTGAAGGGTGAAGAGCAGAAGGAGGAGGAGGAAGAGGAGATGGTCAGGTTGGAAGGCAAGGCAGGGGATAATGTTAGCCTAGGGGCTCTAGATGGAGAAGAGGCAGGGCCTGAACATAGACCCTTGAGCTTTCCTTAGAGAAAGTCCAGAAGGCACCCAGCTAGCTCAGTCTCCACCTTCTTTTTTTTTTTTTTTTTTTTAAAGATGACCGGTAAGGGGATCTTAACCCTTGACTTGGTGTTGTCAGCACCACGCTCAGCCAGTGAGTGAACCGGCCATCCTTATATGGGATCCGAACCCGGGGCCTTGGTGTTATCAGCACCACACTCTCCCGAGTGAGCCACGGGCCGGCCCCTCAGTCTCCACCTTCTTATAAAGAGCATCTGCTCCAGAGAAAGAGCTAGGACTAGGAGTGGGGTCTGGCTGGGAGTATAGAGTGGAGGTCCACTTCTTTTGTTCATATGACTGAAGTTTCCCCTCCTCCTGATTTGTCAGTGGGTAGATGTGAGCCTTGAGCTGTGGGCAGCACCCTGTCTGATGAGACCTGGGGTTTGAAGGTATCAGAAGGAACAGGACTGGAAAAAAAGGGGGTGGCTACGTGATCAGAAGGAGGGATCATTCTTTCCTGACCCAGTGCTGACTTCAGCTAATGCATCAAATGTTCCTATTACATGGCCAACTCCTGTTCATCCTGTAAAACTCTGCCCAGGTGTCTCCTCCTCTGAAAAGCCTTCCCCAGCCTTTGGAGCAAACTTAATCACTTCCTCCTCTGGGTGCCCACAATTCCCTGTGTCATTGCTCATACAGTTTTATCATATCATATTTGTACCTGTCTTCTCCAACAGACTGGAATATCCTTGAGGGTAGGTACTACATTTGAGTCAGAAAGTATATGTTGAATAAATGGATAGGACCCCCCAGATGAGTGCCCTGGGAAAAGGAAGACATGGTATAAGGCAGTTGTAGTCCAAACAAAATGATATTTGTATGGCATGTAGAGTTAAACAGAGTATACTATTTGCTCTGTCCCTTTGTGTCTGGCCCCGGAGACTAATGGGATCAGTACCTGCAGCATACCTTGTACACCTACTATGTATTCTTGGCATATGAGTTAGGGAACTAAGACATAAGTAAGTTGCTGGAGGGGTACCTCACCCCTTTGGAGCAGTACTAGGCCTAGTGACCCTGGGGGTAGATTTTTTTTTTTTTTCAACCTCTTGATGCAGCCTGAGCTGCCATTAGCTGTTTCTGCACGGGTATATGCTGGACACGGATATCTCTCTTTTTTTGCCTTAAAAAATTTTTTTTTTCTTTTTTTTTATTTTATGGACACTAATATCTCATGTTCAGGCCTGTTTGGATCTCTTTTTGATCCTGATTCTATTGTCACAGAATTAGTTTTCCAATGGGGCCCAACAAATGTACTCAGTCCTGCTCCAACAAAAAAAAAGGCAAGATCTCATTCTGCTTTCTCTCTTTCCCTTCCTAGAAATCTGCCTGTATCCCTGGACACAATCCTCAGAAAGGTCCCCACCCCCCATCTCTGGCAAGGAAGCTGCTGTAGGCTGACCTTAGCCACTCTCACTTCTTACCTTTACAGAGTGTTCTGGGGTTTGACATGGCCTTGTTGATCCTGGGAAGGCTGTGTGCCTGGCCAGGCGTGGAGAACTGGGCTCTGTGGGTGGGAGAGCAGGCCCTGAGGAGCTGGGGGTGGAACCCTCCAGTTTTAGAACAGTCTTAGTCTGGCTAGAGCCCTCAACTCAAGTCCCGGATTCTTCAGCATCCAGTGTGAGTGTTGCTTAGTGAGCCCCCCACCCCATCCCTGATGCAGAGCTGGATTAGTGAACTGGGGTCTCCTTAATGGAGGGAAGTATGAGTCCCAAGGGGAGATTTGGTCCCAGGCCTTTTAATACAAAGTCATATCTGTCTGCCCCAGCTTGCCCCAGAAGGGAGCCCAGCTTGAGGGGTCATGGTGGTGGGGGGAGGGAGAGCTCTGCCAGGAGGAAGAAAGGAGTGGAAGAAACCCAGCTTCCTGGGTCTAGGTCTGACCTGGATAGAGGCTTCCTGGGTCTGGTCCAGCACAGCAGGCTCAAGCTGAGTGGAGAAAGTACCCATGATTCTTGGATTCCCCCAACCTTGTTTTGGGTAATGTGGTCTCCTTGGAGGGGAAGGAGATAGGGGTCTGGGCCTGCACGGGGACCCTGGTATTTTGGGATCAGAGTATGCTGGCCTGAGGCTTGGATCATTCAGAGCCTGGGGGCGGGATGGCTTGCAGCCTGTGGCCCCATTGAAATAGGTTCTAGAGCACTCCCATTGTTCCTAGTTGAACTTGGGTGAGGAGCAGGAATGTGGTCAGACAGGGTCTGTATGTAGGAGGGCCTTGGCCAGACTGAACCAAGGGTCCTTTGTCTAGGTTACTTGGCCTGAAGGAAATCTTGACTTAGAGCCTTAAGCTGTTAGGTGTCAAAAGGCCTTAGTCCTAATGTTTGATCCTGGCATAGTTCTGGGCCTTAGTTTCCCCTTCTGTGGAATGGGAATAATAACTTTTCCACCTCTGACCCTTCTCCTGAGTGGCTGTGCAGGTCCTGAGAGTGAGGTGGGCTGTCAGAGGTCCCATGTCCAAGCCAGTGGGAGCCTCTATTCTCCAGGCTCTTCAAGAGGTGGACCTAGAGTATCGATGTGCCAAGGAGATTCCTAAGAGGTGACCCTGCTTGTCTCTGCTGCTGTTATCCAATCTCCCTCTGCTCCCGCTACTCTGCATTGTCTTCCTTTTTCCCTTAATGCCCTTTCTACCCTTTCTGCTCTGGCTCTTCCTTACACTCTGTGGAGCCAGCTTTGGAAAAGGCCCCACTTTCCCAGGCCCAGGCATCCCATCCGACCCAAAGTTGCGTCCCTCGCCCTGCTTGGGTCACTCCCTACAGGATGTTCTCTGCGGCCTCCCAGCCCTTGGACCCCGATGGGACTGTGTTCCGGCTCCGCTTCACAGCTATGGTCTGGTGGGTCATCACTTTCCCCATGTTCGGCTTCTTCTTCTGCATCATCTGGTCCCTGGTGTTCCACTTTGAGTACACTGTGGCCACTGACTGTGGGGTGAGTGCCAGGCTTCCTAGCATCTGGGTCAGGGCCAGGTCAGGAGATGATGGTAAGGGTGGAATTAGAGGGTAGGAGATAAGGTGGAGGGTCAGAGAGAGGAGAAAGGGGGATAAAAGGACAAATGGAGGGGCAAGTCAGAGTTAAGGGAAATCTGGGGGGAGAGACTCAGAGAGGGTACAGTCACAGTACTCCAAGAATTGGAAGAGGATTATAGAAAGTGGAAGGGCACAGGGTGTGGAGTGGAGGGGGTGATGGGGAAGGGAATGGGAATGGGCAGGATAGATCATGAGAAGGAGGAGGCTGAAGAAAGACCAGACTGGAAAGGAAGCCAGGACTGAGGAAATACAATGAAGCCAGGAGCGAGGAGAGGTAACAGGTGGCTTCAGCCCAGACTGACCTTGGAAGGTCCTCAGCCTTGCTCTGGGTCCTCAAGCTTTGTTTTTTGCACAGGCAGCCCCACACCCCACAACTTGTGTCCACTCAGGGCTCTGCCAGCCAGAAACCTGGATGGACTTCCTGCCTCCCAGATCTGTCCACTGGGCCTTTCCTGAGGGCCCAAGGGTAGAAAGAAATTCTGTGTCACGGGCATGGAATTGAATATGGACTTGCCCTCAGCATCTCATTCCTGCAAGAGACAGCTCTTAGACAGACACAGCACAGTGAATTGAGATACCTATTGTGATAAAAGGGAGTATGGGGACTGTGGGACTCAGAGGAGGCACTTAACCCAGCTTGGACATTGGGGAAGACTTCCTTCCTGGAGGATGGGTCATTGTTGCTTTGGGGGTGAAGAAGGATCTTTGTGAATGCTGGGCTGAAAATCTTTAGATTTTGTCCAGAGGGCAATGGAGAGCATTGAAAAGGCTTTAAGCAGGAAAGGGACATGATAACATTTGTGCTTTAGAAGATCATCCTGGTTCCTGAGTGGAAGATAGAATTAAGGGCAGGGGCAAGAGTAGGGAGACCAGTGAGGAGGCGAGTGCAGTTCATATTACTGGAGAGAACAGAACTATGATGGGAACTATGGGAATAGAGAGGAGGGAATGGAATCTAGAGAGGAGTAGCAAGTAAGATTGACAGGAATTGGAGTTTTTGTCCAATTGGCAAGGGGCAGGGAGCAGTAAGGTAAGTAGAGAAGTCATCTGTAATTTGGGGGAAGTTTTACGAGAGGCCAAAGGAATGAATCTCTAATGGTGAAATCTAAGGTGCTATATGGGGGATTTTTTGGAACCCTTCCTTTATACCGTGTGAGTTTCTGATTTACTGCCCTGCAAAGAGGTTATCTAGGGGTTATCTACCCATTCTCAGAACTCTTAGCTCATGGGGAGGTTTGGGGTAAGCTGTAGACCTGGTCTCTGATAGTTCGTGATGTTGCTTGTTGCTGGCACAGTTGGTGAGTGGGGAACTTGTGTGCTGGGGATGGGAGTCGGGGTAGCAGTGTATGTATGTACCTGATTTTGTGTGCATGTGTGTTTGTGTGTGTGCGCATGCGTGTGTGTACATATGATGGAAAAGACAATCTCTGCTCTTAGAATCCCGCCCCCACCCCTAATCTGAGAGGAGCTTGTAAAGACAAGACAGGCAGCCATAGGGCCCTAACTCTCTTCCTCCCGAGGCCTCCCCCAAACTCTATATCATCTCTACCTGATACCTATTCCCAATACTGGTTAGGGTTCAGGGCCCTTGAATGCATTGGGCTCTCCCAGTCAGGCTTTAGATGGTGGTCGTGTTCCCCTTAAAGTAGCTAAGATTGGAGAGGAGTTTTCAGAATGAATATTCCAGGAAGCGAAGGCAAAACTCACTAACCCTAATCAGGGGAACATAGAGGCAGGAAAATCAAGTATGGAGACTTGGAGGTCTCAGAAGTGTGTGGTGAAGATATTGTTCCTGCCTCTCATGCAAAAGCAGTCTTTCCCATGCTCAGTGGTCATGTAGCTCATAGCTTCTCTACAGGCTTTTCAGGGAAGTTTGTATTCTAAAACCTATCAATTGGAAAAATAAAATAAACATTACAAAAGAAAAGAAAAGAAAATGCTACATAGGTAAAAAAAAAAAAAATTAAAAAAAAAAGCAGTCACTTGGGGCTGGCCAGTTAGCTCAGTTGGTTAGATCATAGTGCTGATAACACCAAGGTCCAGGGTTCAATCCCTGTATCGGCCAGCTGCCAAAAAATAAAAAGTCATTACTTATTGCACCCACTGTGTACCAGACACTGCAGATGCTTTGTATACATGATATTTAGAATTCAGAATCAGCCTACAAGGTAGGAGGTGTTATATCCATTTTACCAGTGAGGAAATCGGAGTTCAGAGAGGTGAAGTGACTTGATCAAGTTCACCCAGCTAATAAAGGCAGAGCTGGGATGCAGACCCAGCTTTGTGCAGCTTCAAAGCCTCCATGCTGCCTCTTCACTGATTACTCAGAGTGCATATCTGATCCTGGTCTTAAGCTATGGTATCTCAAGCCATGGCCATGAGAGCAGCATCATCTCTCAGAGAGTTCTGCACTCAGCTTCCTCTGACAGTGCTGAGGTGAATACATCTCCTTTTTTTGAGGAGGCTGTGAAGTCCCTGGCTAGCCCTCCCCAAGGCCCACCTTGTGAGCTGCCTCGAGGATTGCCCACCTCCTCAGCAATCTGGAGACCCATTCAGCATCTCTATTGGAAGAAAGGAAGGGATTTTTCAGAATTCCATCTCTGAAGATTGGTCCCTCTGTAGTTAGAGCAGGGTTATTCCCTTGGTGGGTCACTGGGCTCTGGCACTTGGCCCTTGTTGAATGTCTAAAAATGTCCATGGAAAGTGTGGACAATGGACTGTCAGCTTCCACAGTCTTGAAATCTTTAAAAAATACAGATTCTCAGGTTCCAGATCTAAGCATTTCCACACAACACCCCAGTGAATTGTATGCATTACTAAAGTTTGTGAAGCACTGCTCTAGGCCGTGGAGTCCAAGAGATCCTCCTTCCATCCCTGGCTTTCCTGTCCCCATCTAAACTACTGTTCACTCTTCCCCCGTCCTTTCACCTCTCATACAAGCAACACACCAATCCTCACAGCTGTGTGAGTATTATCTCCTTCTTCAGCCTAAAAGAGTGAGGCTCTAATTCCTTAAGGAATAAGAAATTCCAGGCATTGAGAAAGACAGGGGAGATGCACAAGAACAGGGTCACTTTCTTAGACTGCACCAGGTTAGGAGCACCCACTTCCTTAAACATGAGCATGGTAGAGGTAGCCTTCTAGATCAGCTCCCCCAGGATCTCACAGAACCCTCCAGGACCTTGGCACACCTACCTACAGGAATGAGTGGAGTGGGGAGCAGTGAGAACAGCTCAGCTGGGCAAGTGAATCAAGCACCGTTCCAAGGAAGCTCAGAGTCTGTGACTCATCCCTGTCCTTGGGACTGAATCTGGGGTCCTGTACTCCTGGAACTCCCACAGGGTCTTATCAGAGGCACAGCTCTGAGCTACGGGTATAGGAAGCATCTGAACCTGTTTACACACCTGCCCAAATGTGCAGATTTCAATTTGGGGGGAGATGGAGAAGGTCCCACCATAACCCTGCACAAATCCCAGGCTGTCCAGGGAATGAGAACTCAGCACACTGGGTTCAGAACCTGGAAGGGGTGGTCTCCTGAGAGAGCTCTGGGGGTGCCTGAAGGAAGATTCCCCGGAAGGGAAGGGACTGGTGGAGAGCCTTCTGAGTGATTTTGATAGATGGAGAGAAGGCTGTCCAGGTGGGCGGGGCCAGTGGAGGCCAGAGCCCAGACAGGTCACAACTCCCTAGGTACCCAATTACCTGCCATCGGTGAGCTCGGCCATCGGTGGGGAGGTGCCCCAGCGCTACGTGTGGCGCTTCTGCATCGGCCTGCACTCTGCACCGCGCTTCTTGGTAGCCTTCGCCTACTGGAACCACTACCTCAGCTGCGCCTTCCCGTGTCCCGGCTACCGCCTGCTTTGCTGTCTCAACTTTGGCCTCAACGTCCTCGAGAACCTAGCGCTGCTAGTGCTCACCTACGTCTCCTCCTCCGAGGACTTCAGTGGGTGCCTGGATGAGGGAGGAGTGGGGAAGGGTTTGGGAGGGGAGATGCCCTACCCCTTTCCACTGCTTCCTACTTAGCAGTGTGAGCATTCCCTGCAATGCGGGCTCCCAATCCTCCTCTTTTCCTCTAGCCATCCATGAAAATGCTTTCATTGTGTTCATCGCCTCATCCCTCAGCCACATGCTCCTCACCTGCATTCTCTGGCGGCTGACCAAGAAGCACACAGTAAGTCAGGAGGTACGGTCTATCCCTAGTGGGGTTCCAGGTTGCCCAGAAGAAAATTGAGGACATCTGTCCTCAGGATGTGGATAGTGGTGAGGTGGGAATTGGAGTTCTAATGGGAACCCTAGCAGAGAGGTGCTGGGGTAGGGGCTGGGGCTTGGGGACAAGTGGAGCATGACTGGTCAGAATCTAGGATGTTGTTTGGGTAGTATGGGAGACGAGAATAGAAGAGATGGAGGCTCCAAATGGGGATAGAATGAGGGGCAGCACCCAGGCTGCAGAAGGTTAGGAACCCTGTCTCAGGGAACAGTGGTCTGTAGTAATTCCAATGCCCCACTCACATATGTGCCTTTCTTCTCCCCACAGTATCTGGAGGTATTAGGTTGGTAGGTTACTCCATGTAACTTTCATACTCCATCCCCCTGAAGTGGGAGGGGCAGGGATGTGCTGCTCCTTGGCGTCATCACTCCCTCAAATGCAGGGATATGAACCTGCTCATCATCCTTGCTGCCCCTGCCTGTGCCCCCTTCCATGACCACTAGTGGGAACCAAGGGAGGTAAGGCCCATCTTTTAGGAGCTGGAACTAAGAGAGGAAGCCACCCACACATACCCAACAAGCTGCAGAATAATCAGACAGCTCATACCCTAGGATCGCAAGTCCTACAGCTGGAAACAGCGGCTCTTCATCATCAACTTCGTCTCCTTCTTCTCTGCGCTGGCTGTCTACTTTCGGCACAACATGTATTGTGAGGCTGGAGGTGAGGCCAGGCTAGGATCTGTAGGTGGTCATAAGTGGCTATGGGGCAGTCATAATGTTTTCAAGAATGGGCAAGTGGTCTTGGGGGCTGGCTGCCATTATGTTCCCTGTGGTTGACTAGTGTGATGACTTATTAAGGGGACCCTGAGAGCGGATAGCAGGAGGATCACCATGCCCTGTTGCTTGTGTCCTCACAACAGTGTACACCATCTTTGCCATCCTGGAGTACACTGTTGTCCTAACCAACATGGCGTTCCACATGACGGCCTGGTGGGACTTCGGGAACAAGGAGCTGCTCATAACCTCTCAGCCTGAGGAAAAGCGATTCTAAACCCTTCTCTCCTGTTGGGGAGGATACAGTCCACTGCCCAAAACAAGAAACAAGATACCACACTGGCGTTCCCCACCCCCCATGTCCTTTCTGGGGCCTACTGAAGCTGGGGGAGGGGAAGGAAGGGAGGAAGGGCGTAGGACAAGGCTGACCCCAGCACTGCTGGCTTCTTTTCTCCATCATTCACACAGGCACAAGGGCCTTCAAGCAACATCACTCCTACATGAGAGGCCCCAAGAAGCTAAGCTAGCAGGAGAGCTACACCATTTGGTGCTAACAAAAAGGCCTAAGGTTCATGACTACCATTTGGTTCTTGGCCTTTTACACAGCCACCTTTTGCTGAGGTCAGAAACCAGAGCAGTGGCTGCTACCTGAAAAGCACAGCCACTTCTCTCCACAGGATCATTCACTTGACTAATGTGTCTAATGATCTACTGTGCACATCCAGGCCTGTGGTCACAGTCCCCTGCTAAGGTTGTCTAGGTGTTCTAGTCCTGACTCACCTATTTGATATGGTGTGTGCCCTAGCATGTGTACCCTTCCCTATCTAAGCCTCAGTGTGTCCAAGTGTATGATGAGGGGTGGGTGTGCTGTGTGACTGCCAAGGGTTCTGCCAGTCTTTGGTTCTGATGTCATCCGATGGAGGTGGTATTCTGTACCTGAAGGATGACCTAGTCCAGAAAAAGCAGCAGCATAGTATGTATTTCCCTTCCCTTCTGAAATCTCTGGCTTACAGACCCTTCCTCCTTTCCAAAGGTATGAGATAGATGGGTCAGCAGCACAGATCCTTACCCCAAAATGGGCTCCCTGGTTTCCCTCTATCTTTCCTACTGCCCCAGGCCCTGAGCTCTTTTGGTTGTACATTTTATTTCAAAGGAAAATAAATTTTTTTTTTTTTTTTTTTTTGTCAGCAGTCTGGGCTAGGCTTGCTAGTCTTGGGGTTCATCTCCTTCTAAGGTGAGGGATGGGCTCCAGGATGGAGGGAATAAGTGCATGGCAGGGTATGATTCCAAGTGCCCCCCTACCCCCACACCTCTATTTAGGCCTGGAGTCCCCTAAGGCTGTTCTAAGCTTCCATTTTGGTGAATGGGAGTGACTGAGCTATCACTGTAATGACTCCAGGCCAGGACTGGGATACCTGGGAGTCTTCAGACGAGGCAGAGGCATGGGTTTCAGCCCCAACTCTTGTTGGTAAAGATCTGTCCCCTTCGAGGTATAAAGGAACAGCTTTCAGATGCATGACTGTGAGGACCTGCCTTCAGGCTGATGGCTCTCAACCCCTCCCTTTCTGAGCCCTAGATCAGGAACTTTCCTCAAGCTTTGGATCCTAGTCCATTACTGCATCTGTGGCTGGGCCCCAGAGCAAGGTTGGCCCCGCCAAGGGAGCCCAAAGCTTTGTTAGGGAAATTGGGGGTTGGGGGCACCACAATGAAGTCTATTGTCTCCTGTCCCCTCTTAGAGGAAACAAAAGGCTCCCAGTCTTTGGGGAGCCTTAGTCCATGCCCACCCCCTAATGTCCAGCACAGAGGGAGGAGCCGGGGCCACTGGAGACAGGAGGTTTTATTGATGCTGATGGGGGTAAGAAAGGCCCCCAGGAGCACAGGGGCTGAGTCAGTCAGCGGATGCATAAGGCCTGGGCACATGGGGGCAGGTTAGGCACACTCATCTTCTCAGGATTTGTGGATAGAGCATTGTGGGGGGCAGTTCCAAGAGCAGTTAGGGCACAGGTTAGAGATGGCTGAGAGACCCTAACCTGAGAGAAAGCACCACAATAGGCAGCAACAACTGTGTGGAAAGCTGGATGAACTGGTCAGTGGCGGAAAGTGGGGAGGGGGCACTGGGTTGGCCTCTTGGGGAGGAGTCCAATCTTGGCCTGGGTGAGCTGATGAGAATACCTGATGTTCCCAAGCAGACTGAGGCAGGCCCAAAGCCCCTTTCCCTGCAGGACTCCTTAAGGAGAAAAAGGCATTCAGGGAGCCCCCTGGCAAGGGGTGCCACAATTAGTCCTTAAGGCACAGCTGCGGGCAAACAAGGCGCCAAGGCACAACTGGTGGGGGGGCAGGGGCAGCCTCCAAACTGAGTGCCAGGGTCACAAGAGGACACAAGACCGCCCACGCTTAATCGGCGTGGGGTTGAGCACAGCCCGGACAGCTTCAGCGAACACTTCCTTAACGCCATCTTGCTGCAGGGCTGAGCACTCAAGGTAGCGCACAGCATGGATCTGCTTGGCCAGTGCCTGGCCCTGCTGCGGTGTGATGGGTGCCTGGCCCTGCTCCTTGAGACGCCGTAGGGTATCAGGCTGGGATCTCAGGTCCTTCTTAGTGCCCACTAGGAGAATAGGCACATCAGGGCAGTGATGGCACACCTCTGGATGCCACTTGTGCCGCACGTTCTCATAGGAGGGCGGACTGGCAATGGAGAAACAGATGACAAAGACATTGGTCTGAGGGTAGGAGAGTGTGCGGAGGCGATCGTACTCCTCCTGGCCCGCAGTGTCCCACAGGTTCAGGTTCACTGTGCGCCCATCAACTGCGCTCTGGGCACTGTAATTGTCGAACACTGTGGGGATGTACTCCTTGGGGAAGGCATTGGTTGTGTAGCAGATGAGTAAGCATGTCTTGCCCACAGCCCCATCACCCACCACCACACACTTGATGCTCTGCATTGTGGGTGCAGCTGCTGTAGTGGAGGCAGTGCCTCCTCCCTCTTCTGGGACCCTCTTGAGGCAGTGACCTATGGACAAATAAGAGGGACACTCTTGGTTAGGGGGGCCTCTACCTAATGGGAAGAAAGAACAGGGGCACACAGAGGGAAACCAGCTCCTGTTCTCTTAACCTGACACCATTCCAAAATCCCATCAAGACAAACATCAGAGAGACAGTTACACAATGAGAGGTCCAGAGACCAAGCAAAGATTCTGTAAAGATGCAGTTTATTGTGGTGGGAAGCACATAAGCTCTGGTGCCAGACCAACTAAGGTAAAATCCTGCTTCTGCTATTTCCTAGCTGCGTGACCCTGGACAAATTACTTAACCTCTCTATGCCTCAGTTTTCTCATCTGTAAAATGGGGATAAAATAATACCTACCTCATTGAGTTGTGACAATTACATAAGTTAAAAAATGTAAAGTATTTAGAATAGTGGCTGGTCAGGAAGGATTAGTCATTTTTACTTTTCTCTAGGCAGTATAAAGATAGGAGGGTGCACAAGTGTAGGGATCTACCAGATCCTCTACTAAATATGGACCCCTCCCACTAGGAGACTGGAGAGGGGTTCTGGCACAGGGCAGCTGTCCCAGATCACTCTGGGATACAGCTATGGGTAGAATCTCTCCCAACTCAGGGCCCACTCTGCCCAGTACACTAATGTTTCAACTTCTCCAAACCTCACAAGTTGGCTACTTAGTGCAAACCAAAAGGCACAGTGAGAAGCCTGCTGGGTAAGGAACACAATTCTCTACACAGTTGCCCTATCCCAATCCAGGACTCTCTGGGGATGGGGAAAAGGGGGAGAGCTTACTCCATCATTCTTTGTTTTGGTGGTTGGTCAGTCCAGGGATCTGAACCCTTGACCTTGGTGTTATCAACACCATGCTCTAAACAACTGAGCTAACTAGTCAGCCTCCCATCATTCTTGTAAGCATGGGAAACCCTGCTGGACACCTATACTAAGGTTAGCAACTCAATGCAGGGAAATGCTGGAGATTGGGCTGGGCTGGGATTTGGACTAGAGTCTAGATATGTTACTGTGAATGAGGCAGAGGTTGAGGTTCCCAGACATTAGCATCTTCTCCCAAGGACCTTGGTGGGGTAGATTCTCCAAGCCCAGCCAGAGGGATCAACAGAAAAGCAAGACAAAAACTTTATTTTCCCCTCAATTTTCTGTTCCTTTCCTGAGACCATGCCATGTGCCTCTGAAAAATTTCAGGGGCTTCCAGACTCTTAGGTAGAGAACATAGTGCCAGTAAAACACTATCACTGAGAACACAGAAGCAGGGGTTGGACTGGCAGGTATTCACAGCTCCACCAACTTCTTATGGATGATCTTGACAATAAATCTAAGTTCCCTGAGCCTCAATTTTCTCATGTGTAAAATGGGCATAATCTTACTTATTACATTAGAATCGATCAGAGTATGAAATAAGTTAATGTGTAGAAAGTGTTTGGCATGAGGCATGGCACATAGGAAGTACCCAATAAAAAGGGTGCTGTACTTAGTGGGGTGAGTATGAGAAGGATTCCTAGCTCCAGCCACCACCCTGGTCCCCTCTGTAGGTCATTGGGCCTTGGGATAAAGAACTGCTCTTTTGAGTTCTGGAACAGGACAGAGCTTCCAGAAACCCTGTGATTATTTATATTGCTGTGGCAAAGGTCTTCCTCTCATCGGCTTCTTCCTCTTGGCCATGGGGGACTCTCGCTGGCCAGTACGTGACTTCCTTTCCCTAATTCTCTTCCACAACCAGTTCCTGCCTCCTGGGAGGGGCAGACCTGTTTTAGACACAACCAAATCCCTGAGTTTCTCTGGCTCCACCCAAGCACCATCACCACTGGCCCATTTTCTCCATTTCACTTTCCATACTGCAAGGCTGCACCCTGGTCTGGGAACACCTTACCCCCAGCCTGATCTCTCAACATTGGTTCAAAAACCTCAAAAATCAAAGAAGGGGGCTTGGAGAGAGGAATTCCCCTATTGGGAAGTAGAAAAGGAACTCTGGTGGTATGAGGGCTACAAAAGACCCAGGGCTTAGCCCCAGCTCCCTCCTAGGCTACAGCTTCCCCTGGGACCAGCAGGGAGGAAAATGGTTTCACTCTATGAGTTTGCCTTTCTGGTTCATATTAAAAATATTTCCATCTTATTTGCATGAATAAGCATAGTACGTGTGTTTAACCTCAGGACATTCAGATAGAGACCCTCAGGGAGTGGATCAGGGAAGGAAATAAGGGCCATCTAGGGCAGTGGAGAGAACCTCAGACTGGAAGTCGAGAGACCTAAGTTCTAGCCTCAGCTCTGTTGACTCACTATAACCAAGCATGAGGCACTTACTGTCTTTGGGCCTCAGTTTCCCTATCCAGGAAATAGAGATAAAAATGCCTTTGACAAGGGCACTAGGTGGGTGAAATAAGACTTACAGAGGCCTGGGGGTAGGTGCCATCACTTGTGTTCACAGGATTATCTGGGAAACCCTGGGATTTCAGAGCAGAACTCCTGGGCCTGTAATCTTCAATTGCACACAGAGCAGAGGAGTGGGTGTGGCAGTATGACTGAGAACTCTCCCCTACAAGCCCAGCCCTGGGCTGGCCCAGGCAGGAAGGTAAGGAGGGAACTCTGGCCAGCAGTCACAAGGCCCAAGAGACTTGAAGTATAGCCGGCTCCGGGTGGCTCTCTGGGGAGGTGGTTATCAACCAGCAATCAGTAAATCAGCCCTCAAGGGAAGGGAGAGGAAGAGGGTAGCTTCCGGGCTGGCAAGAAAACAGGGACTGACACCGGAAAAGGATTATGAGTGAGGCAGTGTGGTATAGGGATAAGAGCACAGAATACCTCGATTTGACCTCCTGAATTCATCTGCTGACCTTGACCCTTGAATAAAAAGTCCTCAAATTGTATAAGGCTTTTACACATGGCATAATAATGTTATTTGATCCTTACAAAAACCTATTGGTACTATTCCTACTTTTTAGAAGGAGGAAACAAACTCAGAGCAGTTAAAGTAACCCAACATCACATAGTTTAGTACAGGAGCAAGGACACAAACCCAGTTTTGTGATTCAAAGTCCTGTATCTTCCTCAATGCATCACACAGCCTCCAAGTTACCCCTTACCAGCTGTGTGACCTTGAGCAAGTAAGTCACTTCCCTTCCTGCAGCCTCAGTTTCTTCATCTGTACAACAGGAGTGATAATACTTGCCCTCCCAGCATCAAAGGTCAGCATGGAGGATCCTGAGCATGGGAATTAATATACTTTATAAATTGTGAAGTGCTGTGCACACAGGAGGTGACAGGAGCAACCCTTTCATCCTAAGAGGCAGGAAGCACTGATATGCACATGTCTGAGTGGTGGCAGCAGCCCAATTCTCCTTATCCTGGTCTAGTTCAGATCCTTATCCTTTCTCCCAAGACAACTCTTTTCTCTGAAATCCACTGGCCTGAACTGGGTCAAATAAGTTTCCATAGTCCATTTAAGGAGGGCATACGCTGAAATGGCATATGCTACCTGTGCCAAATAGGAAGAAGGGATGCCAGTGCTGCAGGAAGCCAAACCAGGAGAGTGGCTTGGGGTTCAACTATGACTTATTCTCTAGGTGGCTTTTAAAGCACAATCTTTGTTTACTAACTAGATTGTTTATAGATCCATATGGTATTAACCAAATTATAATGACTTGTTCTAGCCTTTTATTTCCAATTTAATTCAGATCATGCCTGGTCCTTAATTTTGGCATTCAAAGTTCATAATCTGATATGGGTTTTGGAGTCACATAGTCCTGGGTTTAAATCCTAGTTCTGCCACTTATCAACTGTATGACACTGGGCTTATGATTTGCCTCTCTAAGCTTCAATTTCCTTATCTTTCAATGTAGCAGCACTGCTAACTACTTCGTAGGGTTGTTATAAGGATGAAGTGTGTTAAGATACACTACATGTACATAATGTATGTAGAGAGCAAGTGTGAGAGTTCCCAGCTCCCTGCTCCAGAGAGGTCTTCAATGTCCTCTGCAAACCAGCCAGGATCATTCTTGCCTCTGAACTTTAATCTTGTTTTTCCCTCTGCTGCCATTCCCTCTCTCCTCTCAAATCTTTCTGACTCCTCAAGGCCTAACTTAAGTCTCAGTCTCAAGAGGCTACTGAATTCTTCTTTGAATTTCCATAGCATGGCCACCATTTTTAACCCTACTTTGGCTACATGTGATTCTCCTTCTCCAATAGTTATAAGTTTCCCAGCTGAGGATGTCCTTCCAATACTGGAGCCTGGGCTTCTCTTGACTCAACCATAGAAAACCTGTGAAGCATACAGCTGGGCACACAGGAGTGTACAGCCACTCACTGCTTTCTGTTGTTTGTACCAGCCCTCATTACTGAGATCTAATAGACCCCTCTGAAGCTGAGGATTGGACACTACTCCCACAATGCCAGTCAACAGCAATGCTGAATCTTACTGGACAGCAATGATAGCCAAAAGCTGACTGGAACAGACAAAAATCTCTCTTCCCAGTACTGGCTTGACTTGGCTCCAGCAGGGAGTACAGCCCTGGGGAGCACAGCTTATGGGGGCTAAACCTGTTTGAGTGTGGTCCCTGGAGCCCAGCCTGCACCAATTCAGACCTGGCATTGGGTTGTGGCAGGCCCAGAAGGGGGCAGGGAAAGGAAGCAGTGATGATTGCCTGACTGCCAGATCTCTGTGGCCGTTACAACAGGGGAAGTGTCTCAATTGGGAGTGGGGGAGGGGAGGTCTGGCCTCTTGAGATGGGCAAGTGTGGAGGCAATGGGAACTTATAGTCTTCTAACCTGCCTCCCTAATATGGGGCATCCTTGAACCTCATTCTAACTATAATCCATCTCTAAGCATTCCAACCCTTAGCACTGGCCACACCTCCCTGATCCTCTACAAAGCGGTCTCCACATTCTCTTCTCTAAAACATACAAAGTGGCAATATTCACAGAACGAAGTACTATTGTCACCTTCTCTAGGAAAGCTTTCATAAATCACCCAAGTCACAAGTGACTTATCCTTTCCAAAGTCTGTCCCTGTCTTTCTTATAGGCACGTTCTTGCATCACATGGAAGCTGATCTGAATCTTATCTCGTCTTAGACTGCGAGGACCTAAAGGGCAAGGTCCTGGATGATTTCTGTCTCCATAGCACATGGTAGCTGTCAGTAAATAACAGAATGAACTCAGTCTGTCCTTCATGCTTTTGCACATGGGGGTTCCTCTTCCTGGAATGCTGCTTGCCCCCTTCAGATCATTCCTGTTCTTCAAGGCCCAGTTCTGTTCCCCAGCCTTCTCCAGGACATCACAGCAACCCCCTCTTCCGCCTTACCTTTTCCAGCACTAACTGTACTGTTCATAAAGCTGAACTAAATGGATGCCTCATGGAGAGGGAAGTCTCTCCCTCTGTTTATTTCCAGAAGCCCAGCAGAGGGCTGAGCAAAAGCTACAGGCTGATAACATACATCTTCCCCCATCAATCCACAGACTTTGATGCTGGGAACAAGGAAGAGCCTCAATGCCTAGGAGATGCAAGACAAAGGTAACCAACTTCCTCCTTACCCTGAGGAGTACAAAGTTAGGGTAACAAACACATGCTACGCTGCCTTCCTTAACTGGAAGGCTGTGGGGCAAAGCAGGCAGAGCTAGCTCAGAGGTGATGAGGAAGACACGTAGGAAAAGTGGTCCTGGTAGGCTAAGGATTGGCACTATCTGAAGACCCTTTGTCAAAGATAAGGCAAGGGAAATAGTGGAAAGACTTCAGAAGCTCTGCAAGTTTGTTTACTTGTTTGTTTTGAAGGGAGGAGTAGAGGAGAGGTAATGTGAAGAGGCTCAAAGGGGCTGCAGCTGGCTACAGCTGGGCTGGGAGGAGGAAGCTGGGGAAGACATGAGGTCAGTGTGGGGCTGGGACCAGGCCAAGGGCTGAGTCTCTTGCTTTCTTCTTCCCCTTCTCCCCATCAGCAGGGGAAGAACCCAAGAAAGCCTAGTTCCCAGCCTTTAAAAAAATCCATGCTGGAGGATTCGTCACCTCTTGCCATTCTCTGTCCTTCAGCCCCTGCAAAGTATCCTGCCACAGAGGTGCAGGAAACAAGACAATTGTAGCCAGGAAGACTGTGGGAGGTTGGGACCCTTTCACTAAGTCTCAGTTCCCTCCCTCCTTGTGACACCCAGGGAGTTGCAGAGATTTAGCCCCAGGACCAGAACAGCTCTGTCTGGGGGAGCCAAGGAGGCTGTCCCCTCCCCCCAAGCATCACAGAGGAAGGCTCATACTCTGGGTTCCTCCTCCCCGCCCAGCAGCAGCTCAGCAGTCCCTGGGCCCCATGAAAGGCCTGTGAAGTGGCACTTCCTTTGCCTTTCCTCATTTCACACGAGGCTGTACGGAAGTGCCATCCTCCCAGTCCTGCCTCTCCCCACCTGAAAATACCCACAGAGAGACCCAGGGCTGCCCAGTCAGTCTCTTCCACCCCGCCCAAGGCCTGAGGGGATTTCCACAAGGGAAAATAACACCAGGGAGGAAACTCCAGCATCTACATCTACTTTCCACTGTTGATGAGGCAGAGCTAGAGCAGGGGACAGGGTGCTCCCCATCTTACTGCCCCCTGGCAAAATCCCTAACACTTTGCCCTCTTCTTATCTCTCAACCTGTATGAGTAACAGTCCTTGTGCTTTGGGGAAAAGACCACAGTTCTACCCCTGGACAGATACTTAGAGACTACTCAGGCTTGTCAGATCAAGACTGGTGAGATATGAGGGCCCAGAGTGGGGGGGCACCTGCTATGAGGAGTCTCTTGGGAGAGGGAGAGTCAGAGCTAGCTGGGTTGACTGTGCTCTTTGGAAGTACGGATATGCAACTTCTTAATGTTGAAACAGCCAAGAGAAACTAAGTTGACTGGGGTTATACATATTGGTAGTGAATCCAGGACAAGGACCTCGGTCTCCTAACCTCCAGCCTGATGTTAGTTCCACAATAGTGAGAAGGTGAGGATTGTTACTCTGGCCTGGAAATGGTCCACCATCTCTCTGATCTTATTTAGGATGATTCTGCTATGGTTTATTCCTTCAGGAAATGGGCCAAAGGGGTCAGGCTGATATACGTCTGAGCCCTTTTTGCTTCTAAGTTTCCAGGCCCTCATTCCTAGTCCATCATGGGGCATTCATGATTTAGCAGTGACAATACTGGACAGACAGCCATCCTGGCCCTGCCCCAGCTGAGAAGCTCCTCCTTTGGCCTCTAGCTCCTGGAAGGATGCCCTCCCCCCATATGAGATGAAGACAAAAGAGGAAGCTGGACCCTGAACAGGAAAACCAATCTGATCTGAGGAGGTGGCCCAGGCTTTGTCTTTGGTTTCGCCTCTCAGCTCTTCTCATGGACCCCTACACACCTCACCACTAATAGGTCTACAATGTACATGGAAGGAGGGGCCTTTAGTCTGGGCCTAGGCCTCCCCACTCCCAGCTCCCCAGCTACCACCATGCTAGTATCTTTCCAGCTGTCTCATTATAGCCACAACCTCTCTTATCTTCCTGCTTGTGACCCCTTAAAAGCTCACAACAGCCACCTCATCTGCCTTAACACCCTGCCAGAAACAACTCTCCATATCCCAGATTCCCAAACAAGATCTGTAACAATCTCACATCAGCCACTTCTTTTTTTTTGTCACAACCTTGACCATACTTCTTTAGCCAAGACCTCAACAACAGCCTCCTAGGTTGTAGCCCCCCTTCCTATTTTCCTATTTAGATTCCTCCTACTCTGGTCTTTTTTTTTTTTAAACCCCCCAGCAATAACCTTGCAATTAGCTTAAACATTCAGTGGGACTAGATCTTGCCTGGAAGAATTCTTGTCTTATCCATCCTATCCTTCCCCTCAGAGCCCTGTGGGTTGGTCAATTATGCAGAATACGAAAGTACTGGTTTGCCAGGCTAGGAATCAGGACTCCTGGGTTTTTTTTTTTTTATTGAGCTGTGATGCTGGGAAAGTGCCTTGTATGCACATCCTTCCCCAAGCTGAGATTTTATGCAGGTCCCTGAGACTTCTTCCTCCTGGGACCAAATCTCTGTACCTCCCAGAAATGACAGTAGGAGAGACAGGTGGGTGAAAGGACAGGACTGGAAGAAGGGGCAATTCATGGGAGAGAAACAACCGTGAGATGGGAAGAGGACAGGATGGGGGAAAGAGATAGCCCTTAAATTTAGTTGTGCTTGGGAGAGCTCCACTTCTTTTTTTCTAGTGGAGAGAAATGAATACCAAAGACTGGAGGAGGTAGAGAGAAGCAAGCTCCCTCAGCATGCATCCCAAAAACTTGAGGAAGGAGCTTTAGAACGGAGACAAGAGCTTACAGAGCCAGGATGGACTGAAGTTAGACTTGGAAGAAATTCCTGAGAGAGAGGGACTAGGGTTCTAAGTGAGAGAGACAATATTGAGGTTGCTTGAAGGCAGAGGGGTCAGCAGAACTCAAGAAGGCTTCCTGGTCACCAAGGCCCTGATGCAGGCCAGGGCACGTGGGTACCCAGCCTGGGCAGGCCCTGGAAGGCAGCAGTGAAGAGGGGGCAGACACCTTTGTCTCACACTGTTCTTTTCCTGATTTGAAACTAAAACAGTGAAGACTGAAGTTAGGCCAGCTGCAGTCTTCCCTCCAGAATCCTGCCTTTGCCCTCTCCCTTCCATCACACCCAGTGGGACCAGTAGGTGTTGGAGTCAGGGATCTTTGGGCTGCCCCTCAGCCTCCAGGTGTCCTCTCAGTCAAGCACCCAAGGGTCAGGTGATTTTGATTTCCCATGGTCTCTCTCACTAGTTTTATTCCTGTCCTTCATTCTACCCTGACTGCTACAGACTGCTTCCTCCTGCCTAACCACAACTTCACCCATTGCAGGTTCCCTTCATTCTGCTGGCATCCCTTGCTCTGGGCCCTCTCAAGGCTGAGGGCAGTTATTTTGTCTCCAAGAGATAAAGATATAGACACACAGACACTTGCATGAGCATATACACACAGAGGTGTTCCAGCCCTTTAATCATCTCTATCATTGGGAGGTTTCAGCCTGCCTCTCCAGGCTACGGAGGTGTGAAAAGGCTCTCAGACTCACCAAGTCTTCTACAGCAGATCCTGACCCCAAAGCTGGAGACAAGTGGCTGAAAGGGAAGGAGACAGAGGGTGACAGGCTGAGGGATTAAGAGGAATTAGGGGACATGGAAGTAGCAAGGGGGTGGATATGTGTACCCAAGCCAGAAGCTGGGATGGGAAGGAAGAGGGGAAGCTGCAGGGGACCTACATGAGTAGAGGGTCAGGGGTAGGTGAGGTGAGGTCAGGGCCTAGGTATGACTGTGTGTGTGGGAAAAGAGACTTAAGGGGAAAAGGGAAGACAGTTATGGAGGGTTTGTGGATACAGGCTAAAAAAGGGGTGGAGGAAGACAATATGAAAATGTGTAGAATTCAGGAACTAAGAACGAGGGAGGGGGAAGACTATGGAGATGGTTCCCAATCGTTCTCCAAAGGCCAGAGTTCCTGCTGCCTCCTAAAAGCCTTATAACTTGTCAGGGACTATCGGAACCTCTGAATAAGAGTCCTTCACCTCCAGTCACAGGGCAAGACCAGGCCTTTTCCTTCCTCAGTTTACCCCCAAAAGGGCAAGGCCAGGCTCTGGTCAGCTAGGTACAGCAGATGTTTGCTCTCTAAATACCTGTTGCTTGGCTCCAGGGATGGAGAGGTTGGGCATCAGAATAACTGAGATTCACAGAGAAGGATTGGGGTTGGCGGGACTCCCCGGCGGGTCCTCCTGAGTGCAGAGAGCCCTTGGGCTGCAGCCTGTGGGTCTGGACTGGCATGGATCTTTCAGGGAGAGAGCTCCTTCTCTGAAATCTCGAGCTTCAGAGGCCCCAGATACCGCCCTCTTCTCAGCCTCACAAATGTCACAACTGTCTGAGCAGTGGCAGCGCCTTCTCCAGCCCAGAGGCCCTCTCCCCTCACACACTTCTGAACACCCCCACAACTTCTGAGGGCAGCGCACCTCCGAGTCCCATCTCCTAGCTCTGAGCTTTTCCACTTCAAGGACTTTTCTCTCTGAGGCGGAGACCCTTCGATCTCAGGGGTCCCTCGGGGCTCCCGGGAGCCGGTACAGCCGCCGCCGGATCGCAGTGGCCCCATCCCCGCCCCGCCCGGCCGGCCGCGCCCGCCCAACTTAGAGTGAGCTGAGAACCGCCCGCCCGCGGCCTCCGAACTTCCTGAG